TGCATCCTCACCACCATCCTGCCCCTCTGTCTCTTCCAGGGTTGAGGTGAAACGTCCCAAGTACTGATGTCTCCAGTATCTTCTCCTCCAGCTCCTGGAACCTGAGCCTGCTGGCTGACCCTGAGCTTGTTGGTGTGCTGTCCTTGTCCCCCATATCCTCTACTTTCTGCTCTGGGCTGGGCAGCCTGTGCTTTGGGATGAGCAGAGGCTCTTCCCTCCAGTGTCTGCTACAGCCCTGTGCCGTGTAAATGTTGTTTGTAGATGTAATAAAACTACATTAACTTTGTGTGAGCAGTTGTTTGAGGGGGCAGAGTGACAGTGCCTGGGCTCCCTTATTGCATCTACACAGCCCTGTTGGCTCTCATGGCCCGAGCTCTAGGTCAGCATTTTGGGGATATCCCTGGTGAAATTAGCACATAAACTGCTTTGGGGGAGCAAATTCCAGATGAGGAACCTCTCTGTAAGTGTGGCTTTAACCTGCCAGAGGGGAGACTGAGATGAGCTCTTAGGCAGAAGCTCTTCCCTGTGAGGGTGCTGAGGCGCTGGCACAGGGTGCCCAGAGAAGCTGCGGCTGCCCCATCCCTGGCAGTGTTCAAGCAGCTCCACGAGAGGGCGCCCTGCGGCGGCAGGTGGGCGGTGCCATGCAAATGAAGGGGCGGAGCTATGTTAACGAGCCCCGTTCTCCCCCGGCCGCCATGGCGGCACCGGCAGAGGTGAGCACGCGTGCGGCTGCGCGGCCCCGGCCCCACCGGCCCCGGCCCCACCGGCCCCGGCCCCGGCCCCACCGGCCCCGGCCCCACCGGCCCCGGCCCCACCGGCCCCGGCCCCACCGGCCCCGGCCCCACCGGCCCCGGCCCCACCGCCCCGCTCTGCACCCCCCAGGAGAGCGCGGAGCCCGCGGGGAGGGAGCCGCGGCTGCGGGACACCCCCGAGGACATCTGCTTCGAGGCGACCGCCAACGCCATCGCCCTGCACCCGGCCCGGCCGCTGCTGGCGGCGGGGGACGTGGACGGCGATGTCTACCTGTGAGTGAGCGGGGCCACGGCGGTGTTCGGGGGGTCCCGTGTGCAGGAGCCGCCGGGCAGCGGCCACTGATCCCGGCCCGCTCCGCAGGTACTCGTACTCCTGCACCGAGGGGGAGAACCGGCAGCTCTGGTCCTCGGGGCATCACCTCAAGTCGTGCCGGGACGTGGCCTTCTCCCAGGACGGGCAAAGTGAGTGCGGGGAACGCGGGGTGCGGGGGGCACCGGGACTGCGGGTGCTGATGTCGTTCCCCAGAGCTTTTCACCGTGTCCAAGGACAAGTCCATCCATATCCTGACGGTGGAGGAGGGACGGCTGGAAACGCGCTTCCCCAAGGCACACAGGTAGGTCCGGGGGGCGTGGGGCTCTAGGTAGCGATGTCCCCTTCCATCCTTTGCCGGAGCCGCGCAGGCAGAGGCTGGAGCATCATCAGCGATGTGAGTGTGACTGTGCTGCCGTGGGGCCGGGGTCTCTGCAGCTCGGCCCTCAACTGCGTGCTGCCCATCGATACCAACGTCTTTGCCACGGGCGATGACAACGGGGCGCTGAAGGTGTGGGACCTGCGCAAGGGGGATGCAATCTTGGAGGCCCGGGAGCAGGAGGAGTACATCAGCGCCATGGCTGTGGATGGTAACGGGAAGCTCCTGCTCACTGCCAGGTACTCGCGGCTCTGCGGGCTCCCGCATACCCACAAAGCTCATAGACTCACAGCCTGGTTTGGGGTGGAAGGGACCTTAAAGTTCATCCAGTTCCAACCCCCTGCAGAGGGGGAAAATCCCCTCCCTGAGCTGCTGCTCATGCTCTGGGGGTGCAGCCCCGTATGGGGGGGGGTGGTGCCTGGGCTCCAGCACACACTGAAGCTGGGTCATGGGGAGCTTCTTCTCACCCAAAAACCCCAAGTCCTTCTCAGGGCTGCTCTCAGTCCTATTTCTGCCCAGCCTGTATCTGTGCTTAGGATTGCCCCAGCCCACTTAGGATTGCACTTGGGTGTCCTTACGTCCTTCCCTTAGGGCTGGGGATGCACCCTGCACCCGGTCCCATGCTCACACCATGATGCTTCCATCTCCCACAGTGGTGATGGCACCCTGGGTGTCTTCAACGTGAAGAGGCGTCGCTTTGAGCTACTGTCAGAGCCGCAGAATGGGGACCTCACGTCTGTGGTGCTGCTGAAGGTTGGTGCTTGGCCCTGCCATGAAGCACGATCATACATTCGCAACTGGTTTGTGTTGGAAGGGATCATAAAGCTCATCCAGTTCCAACCCCCTGCCATGGGCAGGGACACCTTCCACTAGAGCAGCTTGCTCCAAGCCCCTGTGTCCAACCTGGCCTTGAACACTGCCAGGGGTGGGACAGCCACAGCTTCTCTGGGCACCCTGTGCCAGTGCCTCAGCACCCTCCCAGGGAAGAGCTTCTGCCTAAGAGCTCATCTCAGTCTCCCCTCTGGCAGGTTAAAGCCATTCCCCTTGTCCTGTCACTACAGGCCCTTGTCCAAAGCCCCCCTCCAGGTTTCTTGTAGGTCCCCTTAGCTATTGAAGGCTATAAGGTCTCCTGCAGATCCCTCTCCATGCCCTGTTTTTTTTTGTCCTGCCTCTGCTTTACCATTCTCCATCTTGCCTAGAGGGGAAAGAAAGTGGCCTGTGGCTCCAGCGAAGGCACCATCTACCTCTTCAACTGGGACGGCTTCGGGGCCGCCAGCGACCGCTTTGCTTTGAGGGCTGAGTCCATTGACTGCATGGTCCCCATCACGGACAGCATCGTGTGCGTGGGGTCCCTGGACGGAGTCATCAGGTCAGGGGCGTGTGTGGGGTGGGTGTGGGACGAGATCAGCCCCGGCCGGTCACAGGCAGAGGCTGTGATGGACCAGGATCCCCACAGCTCCCCCCCCTCCGCAGGGCAGTGAACGTCCTGCCCAACCGCGTGCTGGGCTGCGTGGGGCAGCACCTCGGGGAGCCCATCGAGCAGCTGGCGCTGGCACCGGGCGGGCAGCTCCTGGCCAGCTGCGCCCATGACCAGAAGGTGAAGTTCTGGGACGTGTCGGCGCTGGCGGGGCTGGTGGTGGACGATTACCGCAAGAAGAAGAAGAAAGGGGGGCCCCTGCGGGCACTCAGCGGGAAGGCGGTGGGCAGTGGCGAGGACTTCTTTGCCGACCTGCGGGATGAGGCTGAGCCGGAGGCGGCACCAGGGAGCGACAGCGACAGCGGGGACTGAGGGGATGGGAGCGCAGGGTTGTAACACGGTGTCCTTGGGCTGGGGGCGTCCAGGCATGGGGGATGTGGCTGCAGTCCCTGGTGAAAGGGTTCCGGGGTTCAAGAGTGAGGATCCCTGGTGGATGGAGGGGCTGGGTCTCAGATGGGGTGGGAGACATGGATGGGGATCCAGCCCTGGGAGGGGAGTGTGGTGTGGGTGTAGGAAAGTTGGGGTTTGCTGGTGTATTTGGGGGTCCTGGGATGGGGAGGGGAAAGCAGAGCATAGCTCAAGGGGCTGGAGGGTGATGGGGTCCTGGGGTGCCTGGCCAAATGGGTCCACCCCTTACCCGAGGCCCTGCCTGACCCTGCAGTGCTGTCCAAGCAGGTGTGTGTTCTCTTTTGTTAATTAATTTATAGATCAGCTCTACTGCAAATAAACCCAGTGCCTTTCAGTTCCTAGTGCCTTGTGCTGATGTTATGGCTCACCCCAACTTCCCTGGCATCCCTGGTACATCCAGGACCTGCCTGTGGGGCACTGGGGATAGAGATGGGGATGGCTTGGGGGGGAGAGCATCCTGTGCCTGGGTGCCCTGAATTGTCACAGGCAGTGGTTGGTTCCTGCTGGGCAGGGGGGGTGGTGCAAGCTGTGAGAGCATCCAGGGCATGGGTTTTAAACTGAAACGGGAGGCACTAGGAAGCTCTTCCCTGTGAGGGTGCTGAGGCGCTGGCACAGGGTGCCGAGAGAAGCTGTGGCTGCCCCATCCCTGGCAGTGTTCAAGGCCAGGTTGGACACAGGGGCTTGGAGCAAGCTGCTCTAGTGGAAGGTGTCCCTGCCCATGGCAGGGGGTTGGAACTGGCTGAGCTTTAAGGTCCCTTCAACCCAAACCTGTCTGGGATTCTGTGATTTATCACCAACACAGAGTCCAACCTGCCCCAGTGCAAGGCAGGGACCTACGAGCCCACAGGAGCTCTGGGAAGCAGACAGGTGCCCAGAGCCAGTCAAGCCATACCAAACGGACTGAGCTCCATGAGCAACATCGCAAAGCTCTGGGAGGTTGCTGGGGCACTATTAAAAGGCAGTGGTTCACCACTGTTGAGCACAGAATGGCTGCTGAAGGACATCTGAAGGCACTTCAGAGTCCCCTAGTGCTGTACTATAAGGCATCTGGGCAGCACAGAAAAGCACATGGAGTTTCCTTAAGTGCACCAGAAGACACTTGGGAGCATACTGAACCCAGAAAGATCCTTGGAAGGCTCTAGAGGCTAACAGCAACGCACCTGGGTGCTCAGCACAGGAGATGGGACTGGCAGAGTTCTGTACTTGGAGGCACCCAGGTATGCCCTGAAATGCACTTGGAAGCCACCAGTGCTCACCATCAATCAGTTGCAGACCTCATCCCTCCTGCAGCTAAAGGCAGGCTTTCTTGGGGGGAGCAAAGGACCGAGATGGTGCCGGACAGGCAAGGAGGTGGGAACAGAACAGGACGGGACACAGCAGTGCTTTGCAGGCTACTTTAATCCCAGTGAACAGTGCAGCCGGACCTCCCGGTCCTGAGGAATCATTCATAGACAGCCGGGCCCCGAGGCTGCTTCCCTGCAAAGCAGACGGCCCTGCACAGCTCCAGACACTGCAGCACTGCCTGCCTACACCAGCTCCACCAGCACAAGAACAGCCCCCACGGGCTGCTCCTCAGGCACCAGACACAAAGGAGACGGGGCCCCACCGAGCCCAGACAGCCCTAGTGTCCGGCGGCTCCAAGCAGCCACTGCTTCTCCCAGGGCCCCTCCACCACAGCACGGCAACGCAAACCAACTGAAAAGAAGCCAAACTGGGCCGGATTAAAACAACCCCAAAAACAGAACCATCCCCAAGGGCTGGCCAGGGACAGAGCAGCAGCCATGCACCAGGCCAGCAGCTCCGTCCTCAGCACCAGCTCTCAAACCAAACCAAACCAAACCCAAAGGAACTCAAAACAGAGCTGGAACAGGACTCTGTCCCAGCAGGGCTCACTCGCCGCTCCGGCAGCACCGGGGCTGGTGGCTCAGGTTCAGCTCATGGCACGGGCAGAGCGCTGCCTACGTCAGCCGGCACCCTGCAGCGGGGAGGGAAGCGTCAGGCTTTGAGCAGCATCCCAAAACCCTCCTCCCTTTGCATCTTCTGCTTCCAACCAGGAATCCCACCCAGGGCTGAGAGACATCAGGGTCACATCTATTCGATGGGGGATCTGACCCTGCTTGTGTCCCCCAGAGCTCCACACTCCCAAGAGATGCTCCAAGGCTTTTGGAGGTTGGCACAGGTACCGCACACGGACTCACCCAGCATCCGCAGAACCTGCAGCGCCACCGCAACTTTCGCCTCCTCATGGCCACTCCTGCCTGGCCCGTCCTGCACCCATGTGAACCCCATGAAGGGCATGGGGCACCCCGGGATCACCACCTGGCACCAGAACCGCAACCACCCATTGGGGTTGGCCTGGACGCACTTGGTGAGGAACAAGGGGGGCCCCAGGTACTGGCTCCGGCACAGGGTGTTGAGGTGCTCCAGCGCATTGTGCAGCACCGGAGATGGGGGAGCCTGCTTGGCGAGCCGCGGGTGCTTGGCCCTCTGTACCCGGCTGGGCGATGGCTTCTCCTCCGGTGACTGCAGCTTCTGCTTCAGGTCAGGGTTCAGCCAGTCCACCCTTATCTCTGCCCCACCGAGCCTCATGTTCCCTAGGACAGACGAGCAGCAGCTGCCAGGGGATGCTCAAGCACCAGCAGCCCAGTATCTCCCCATCCCACGCCACCCTGTCCCCCAGTATCTGGCACAGTGACTCCAAGGGTGGTTTGCTGCTGACCCACAGTCCATGAACCACACAAAACCCTTTCCCCTGCCTCTACATCCCCTCATGCAGCTGCAGGGCAGTTGCTCCTCAATCTCCTTTGGCTACCGAGGCGGGTTCAGAGCTCCAAAGCTCAGATGATAGGGTCAGCCTTTAGGAACAAGATGCAGAGACATGAAAGCCAAGTGTTTCTCAACTGGGGCAGAAGTGGATACACATCAGGGCTTTAGAGATTCTGGCTGGATGTCTGTGAAATGTGTCCCAGGGTTGTGCGATCAAGGGATGAGGCAATGAGGAGTAGGGAACCTCCATAACAAGGGTAACTTGGTTAAAGCTCTGGATGCCCTGGACTTGTACTGGTGATGCTGCTGCTCTGAGCAGGCAGCTGAAGACCTCCAGCAGTCCCTCTACCCCACCTCCCCAGTGAGGACAGCTGACCTCCCACGGGACACAGGGACAGAACACGGGATATCTTCACCTCACAGCTGAGCTCCGAGGTGGAATCAGCCCTTAGAGACACCAGGAAGAGCATCCCAAGCATCCCCCCAGCCTCCCATGTACCTTCCATGAGAGTTTTCTTGGCCATGGCAGCAGCGTGGTGTGAGCTGAACTTGAGCAGGGCGAGCTGCGCACGCTGCCGGCCGGGGCTGGGGTGCAGGGTGACGCTGAGGATGCCCGCGGTGACACGCTGCAGCACGGCCTCCAGCTCCCGCCGGCTCACCGAGCCTGCCAGCCCGTCCACGCTGAGCTCGCACTTCTCCGTGCTCCGGCACACCACGATGGCGCAGCCCTCCCGCACGCTGAAGTTGTTGAGGGCGGCGATGGCCTCCTTGGCTGCGCGCTGGGTGCTGTACTTGGCGTACGCGAAGCCGCGGTTGAGCCCGCTGAAGGTCATCATGAGGCGGAACTCGTAGAGCGTCCCCACGCTCTGGAAGAGCGGGATCAGGATGTTCTCGTACATGTCCTGCGGCAGCTTCCCGATGAACACCTCTGTGCCTGCTGGAGGGGGGTCGCCCACCCAGCCTGCAGGCACACAATGGGCACATACGAGTGACAGACAGCTCGCCACCGGGCACCCTACGTGCTGTGCTCCCAGGGCACTACAGCACTGAGATGCTCTGCTCACGTACCTGGGGGTGGGCCACCATATCGCCGCTGCCCGTTGATCTGCACTAGGTTGATGCCCGTTTCTTTTGCCCAGGTAAGCAGGGCTTTCTTATTGGCCCGGTTGATGCTGTTGGTCCATGTCTGAAGAAGAAAACGATGGAGTTTGTATGGGCAAAGAGTTTCCAACCTCCCAACAACTGGGGGTATCCCAAGCCAGTGGAGCAACTGCAAGGCCCAGCACCAGCCAGCATGTAGAGGAGCAAATGGTGAAGCCCTTTGCCTTAAGGAATCGAGAAGAGCCTCTTGACAATGCACACCCAAAGCTCTACCCTACCCATTGTCCAAGCCTGCTCCACAGGGTGAAGTCCAGCAACACAAGGCCAGGTTGGAGGGGGCTTGGAGCAACCTGCTCTAGTGGAAGGTGTCCCCATAGCAGGGGGCTGGAACTGGATGAGCTTTATGGTCCCTTCCAACCCAAACCAGTCTGGGATTCTACGACACCTGCAGCTGCCTTGCATCTGCCTGAGAGCCAAGACCAGTGAGCAGTTGACTGCACAGCCATGAGGTGACCCATCACAGACAAGCCAGGACCCCAACACAGCCAACCCTCTTCTACCAGACCCTCCTCTGCCTTCTGAGGGCATCAAGCATGGTCTGGAGACACCAGTATCACAAAGCTTCAGCTCATTAACCACTGCAAAGTCTCATCGGGGCTTCTGAAACTGCTTGCTGAGTGGGATTAACCCGAGCTCAGGCTACAACATACTCTGGCCGCCCCTCCACCTCCTGCATCTCCAGCTGCAGCCCCAAGGTGGCACCTTCCTATCTGCAAGGGGTTTTGTCTTCCCTGCGGCCAGAAAACACCTTTGGGCGGGGACCCATCTAAGGGGAATCTCTGCTGAACGGGCGCAGGATGCTCGGCCACAACCCCGGGGCAGGGTCCCCGCTCTTCCGCTCCCGGCAGGTTCCGGGGAGCGGCAGGACCTGGCTCTGCCCCGGCGGAGCCCACCCGAGCCCGCAGCCCCCGGGCAGGCGCTACCAGGGCTTTACCGTCACCCCCGAGGGGCAGCCCCAGCTCACGGCGGGTGGGATGGGACCAGGCTCGGGGCCGGCGCCGGGATTCCCCGCCGGAACCCCCCAACGATGCCCACCTCGATCTCCATCGCCGCCGCTCCTCTTGCTCCTCCTCGCCGCCCTGGACCAGGCTCTGGAAGGTTCCAGCACCGCCCATCGGCCTCGCACCGCCCCGGGCGGGGACCCGACTGCAGTGCCCGCCCCTCCCGGCCGCAGCGACCCCTCCGCAAGCTCTGCTCCCGCTGCTTTGCCACGCCTGGAACCCGCGGAGGCGAGAAGTAACGTGGTGCGGGCATGGAGCTGGGCGAGATGTGGGACAGCATCGAAGGGAAGCTGGGGATGAGGGGTCCCCGAGTCACCCCAGGAACCCGTTTCACCCGTGGGGAGCCCAGCTCCTGGCTGGTGGGAGCTCTGCTCTGCACACGGTGCAGTGGTGGGAGCCAGAGGCAAGGAAGAACGAAGGCGGTTGAAGAAGCATCCACCGTGACATTTAAACCCCAGCTCCTGCTCAGCGAGGCAGGGGAGCAAATCCCTGCCCCTGGCAGGAAGTAGGGACAAGCAGCACAGAATGGGAGAGACAGGTTTATTATTTCTGGAAGCAGTGCCTTTACATGTTGCTCGAGATAAGGTCACCTCCCTGCAGCCAGAGCAGAGGGACGGGGCAGGATGTTGATTCAAAGTGACAGGAACAAGAAGCTGCAGCCAAGCCCCTGGGGTCTGCTGACAGCACAGGGCTCCACGTGTCACCACGGGACTCCACAGCCACCACAGCATTTGCCAGAGCTACTCAAAAACATCCAGCAACATACCCAAGGGCCAGGGCATGTCATAGTAGTCAGTACGGCCTCTCTGCTCCCAATGGGAAAGGGAGGGCATGAGACAAGAATAAATAGTGTCCAAAGGCCCCCCTGCCCCTGTTGCTCCGTGGGCTAGTGAAGGTATTTACAGGAGGAAATCTGTCAGCCAGAATCCAACAAACGAGCAGACACATCCAGAAGGGGTTTAGGGGCAGCTCGTTCGCATCCTGATCTCTTCTACCAGGCTCTCCCGGCGAACGTTGACCTGCATGGGGAGAGCACAAAGTTGCTTCAATACAACACAAGCAGTTTGATGGATCATGACCTTCCCTGCTCCCACAGGGATGGCTGGCACTGTACTGTGGCCCTATGGTCACACCATGATGCTGTCACCAATGGCACTGCAGGGCTCAGTGGGCTGCAGCACATGTGGAGTGAATCCATCAGAGCAAGCACCTGCCTACAACCTGCCAAGCCCTCTTCTGCCCACCATCATGACAGCGATGCTCTTCCCACTCCTTCCTACTGGTTCCAAACCCAAGACCAGTGCATACATAGCACTAGTCCCATTCACTCCAAGAGGGCACCTCCTGGACCTTCAGCATTGGTCCCATGCCCTGGATGGAATGCTCAAGCAGTCATACATGGAATCACGCCTCCGTGTTCCAGGCTCCAGAACTGAGGAATGTCTGGGAGTTCAAGAAGGCCACATGATAGCAAACTGCTCCACAGCTCTAGGAAACTGTGTGGGGTGAGGAGCTGGCATGTGAGCGTTACGAAGTCCATGAAGAGACCTCTGCTTGAAAAGATCTAATGAGAAGCCACTGTATAACATCCCGAGAGCCTGTTAATAGGGTGCTTGGTGGCAAACACCAGGGCATGTGCTCCTCACAAAGGCAAGATGGGCTGAGGAAACTCACCCAGCCTCCTAAAGTGCACCCACAAGTCCACCACCATCAGTCCACAGCCCTCACTTTGAGTCTGCCAGTCCCCTTTGGGCACTACACTGAAAATATGGGCCAGCAAAGCAACCTTGCAGTGTACAACCTGAGGGCACCAGTGCAGAGCATGCACAGATGGGGCAGGAAGGCCGACCTGAGCCTGGATAAAGGGTCAAGGAGCTGATCCCCCTCACACCAACCTGCCCTGGGCCTCACCTCCTCCCTGGTTGCCACCATCCGCAGCTTGACGACTCCATCCTTGAGCTCCTGCTCGCCCACAATGGCAACAAGAGGGATGCCGGTGTCCTCACAGTACTGCAGCTGGTTCAGCAGCTTGGGGTTCTTCTTGTAGAGCACTTCTGCCTGCAAGAGAACCAGAGAATAGCACCATAATTTGTGGACCTGTTTGAGTCTAGAGGAGGCCATGGCGATGCTGTGAGGGCTGGAGCAGCTCTGCTCTGGAGCCAGACTGAGAGAGCTGGGCTGGGTCAGTCTGGACAAGAGAAGGCTCCTGAAGGGGAGACCTTAGAGCAGCTCCAGTGCCTAAAGGGGCTACAGGAAACCTGGAGAGGGGCTTTGGACAAGGGCCTGTAGGAACAGGACAAGGGGAATGGCAGAAAACAGCCCAGGCTCCTCCCTGGCCCCACTTTCCCCTTGTAAGGCTCCACTTTTTTTGGTTTGTTTTTGGGAGCAGCATGGTATTCCAGCCATGGCCACACAGCAGGGGCTGGAGCAAGCTGCCTGCTTTGGGAATATGCCTTGAGATAACAGATACAGAGCAGCCCCTACAGTGTTACAGGGCTACTAAGTCATGCTGCCCAGCCCTTCCTGAACACCTGATTTAAGACACCAAGAAGAGGCAGGCTCCATTCAGGAAGCCCATCTGCTGCCCACCTTCTCCCTGTGACTCCTTCCTCCCAAAGCAAAGCCAGATCTGGTCCATCCCCAGCACAGGGTGGACCAAGCAGCTCCTGACTTTGCCATCACCTAGTCATACCTTGATTCCAGCATCCCACAGCTCAGCAATGAGCTTCAGCCGCTCTTCCAGGAGCTTCTTTTGGGCAGAGGCCACCAGCACCTGTGTCTCTGTTGTCCTGATCTTCTCCTCAGAGGCCTAGGGCAGGGACAAGACTCAAAAGATGCCCTGGACATACAGAGGTATCTGAGACCCTTTGAGCAGAACAGGTCACCACCCCAGACCCATCAATTCAGCAAAGAGGATCAGGCTCATTGAGTAGCATAAACTCAGGGAGACCCTACAGACCCCATCCTGGAGCAGAACCTCATTTTTTGTTATCATTCCATGATGGGAATGTAACACAACCTCCCTCCTGCACTTCAGGTGCACACAGACTGGAGGATGTGCTGAGAATGAGCAGTTTCCTTGCCTGCTTCTGCATAGGAGCTGCTCCTCCAAGCTCGAGGGCCTCCTAGAGACTTGCTCCAAGTAGCTCAGGAGCAGCACAGCTGGGAAACCCCAGACCAGCTAAGCTGGTGACTATGGGTTAGATCAACAGGAGCAAGCTGAGATGCTGCAGTGCTGTCAGGAACTGGCTGCTCCCAAGGCAGATGCTGGATACTCAAAGTGGCATTTTCCTGCTGCTGCTTTTGCTGAAGGAGCAAGCCTTGAAAAGGTCACCGGCAGAGGAACAAACCTGTCCAGGGCTGGAGGTGGTGGGGGAAGAATTCAGTTTTCACTTAGAAAACCTGGTTGTGTTCGGCTTCCAGGAGAGAACTCTCCACAACAGGCTTCTGGGGGAGGTAAATGTGCAGCAGTGTTCTGGGATCCTACAAAGACCCATTTAACAGCCAAGCCAGAGAAAACTGGAGCTTATGTCTTGGTTCTGACTCCTGCTTCAGAGCCCATTAGGGGCCTGGCTGGCTTCTTCAAAGACTGCAGCAAGAAAGACTCACTTCAGCACCTGCTGGACTAGGGGTACGTGGGAAAGATGTAAATCTTTGCTCCTTCTCTATTCTTAGTTGAGTAGTAAAGACACCAACCTCCACTCTCTGCTCCAGAATGGAGAAGATCCGCTCTATCCCAATGCTGACCCCCACGCAGGGCACCTTCCGTCCCTTGGGATCAAACATCCCCACCAGCCCATCGTAGCGGCCGCCTCCAGCCACGCTCCCGACGCTCACGGGCTCCTCCACGTGCTCATTCTCCTGCTGCAGCAGCACAGCCTCGAAGATCACCCCTGTGTAATAGTCCAGGCCCCGCGCCAGGCTCAGGTCAAAGGAGATCTGCAGGGCACAAGGGAAACCCCATCACTGCCTGCACTCAGGGGGCCTGGGCTGTGCCCCTCCTGCCCCTGCCCCTCCTCACCTTTTCTGTGATGCCAAACAGGGTCAGGTACTCAAAGAGCAGCTTCATGTCCCCCAGCCCCTCCTTGGCCAGCTTGTTCTGGGACAGCTTTGGGTCCTGGAGCAGCCGCTCGATCAGCTCCAGGCCACCTGTGGCAATGAGACTCTGTTAACAGGGTTAACAGCACCCCTGTGTCCCCAGCCCTCCCTGCCTTGCCTGGAGGAGCAAAGCCAAGGGCTTGACCCCCCAGTGCTCACCGTGAAGCTGGACGTACTCCCCGATGTGATCCGCAGCCTCGGGGGAGAGCCCCTTCTCCCCCACCATCTCGCTCCTCACTTCTTCCCATGGCACCTGTGAAGGGAGAGAAGAGCATCAGCCACAGCTCCAAGGATGTGGTCTCCTGGGGAAGCTCTCTGGTGATCCTGCCTGATGCAGGTGAACAGACATATCTCCCCTCAACAGATCTTTATATGGCAGAACCCCATCAGTGTGCTTAAGAGGTCATACTTCCACTTCTTGTACCTGTCTGTCTGGTTGCACCCCACCCCTGCAGTCAGCAAAACTGCCAAAAAACCTGAAGCCCCAGGACAAATGCTCTGGGTTTGATTTCTGGCCAGAACCAAACATTCAAGCCAGTTCTCCTGGCGCATGTTGAGAGCAGCCCAGGGGCACAGAGCCCCACTGCCACTCCAGCAGCAGCACGTGGAGCCCATGGCTCCATCCCATACCTTGTCCAGTTTGTCCACACTGGAGCAGATCGTTCGGAACTTGCTGTCCGGGACACCACAAACTGCAAACATCCCATCAAGGATGCGCCGATCATTGACCTGGGAGAGAGGGAGCAAATCATCCACTGTAACTCAGATGCTTCAGCTGGGTCCAGTTTCTCTCCTCTGTTTTCAAGTGTGGAAGAGAAACCAGCAGATCTCTGCCAAGATTTTTTCATGTTTGGAATTTCTCTTCCCCATTCCCAGGGAGCAGAGCTGCCTCTCTGCCCACAGCTGACCGCTGCCAACCCTGGCCAGGGCTATCACATTCTCCTTCTACAGCCATACAGACCTCCACTCAACAGAGAAGAAAATCCAGTGCTGCCTATGAGTCCTCTCACGTGGACAGAAACAGGCCACGGAGATGAATTCAGTGTTATCCTGCTCTCTCAGTGTAAGAACAAAGGGACATCTGATCGTGTTAAAACCTCGCTAAGGAATTTTTTCTTGATAGTATAGTGAATTCCAGAGTTTAATTATGCTCAGTAATAGCAGGTAATTGAGGCCAGAGGCTCAGCTGGATTCAACATTTCCATGGTTACTGAGAACCTCTACAATTAAATTAGAGAGAAACAAAGATTGCTCAGGAGTCTGTAATCCTCCACCATCAACATGAACCAGACAGTGCCTCATGGAAGACAAGAACAGCAGCAGGCAGGTTATTCTGCTGTCCCCATTGCAGGGGTGCCTCCTCAAAGGCCACATCCTCTTTCACCACTACCCAAACACACAGCAGCTGGACAGGCAGCTCCTCTGCACAGCTCTTAGCTCATCCCACACAGGTTCAAGAGCAGGTAACTGCCTCCCTACCCAGTGGGGACTGCACAGAGGAGCACAACACCCAGCCCACACTGCTCATCTCCCCTGTGGAGCCCAGCAAAAACCCAGCTCTGGATCCCTCTCAAAGATCCCACCAGCCTCCTGCACATCACACACTCCTTCCCATCACTCTCCTACTGCTGTACAACCTTCTCCATCCTGCCTGACCTGCACACCCAGCACCATTTGCTGCCACACCAAGATAATGGAGGTGCTTTGAAGCAAATGGCTTCACCTACAGCAGGGGATGACTTCTGGAAAACAGCTCAGCCCCAGAATGAACTTGGTGGGAAGGCAGGAACCTGCAAAGAACACACAGCACACACTGAGCAGATGTCCCTACTAAGGGGACACCGGGAGCTGGGACAAGGATCCTTGGCCAGAGCCTATGTTTTACTGCAGGCAGTGAACATGACAGTTACCCTGTTGGCTCCTGGACATTTTGCAGGGGACTGTGATTAGTGCTAAAGAGAGCTCTGCTACTGCAGCCTCAGGAAACCTCCCTGCATTCCCAGCTGAAGGCAAGTTTGAGCTGAGGTCCAGACTTTCAGCATATGCAGGTGAGGCAGAGGTGGGATGAGCTTCTGGATCAGGGTTTAGTAGGCTTTAAGAGTGGGAACAGGTACTGCTGCATTAAGCAGAAGAACAGTGACCTCTGCTTCCCACTGTGACACAGAGAAACCTGCTGAGTCTCACCTTGACGAGGAAGTCTCCGAGCTGCAGGTCACTCAGGATCTCGTGCACGATCTTCAGGCACTCGGCATCAGGAATCATGGGGTCAAACTGCCCAGCGATGTCAAAGTCCTGGGAACAGGAAAGGCAGTGAGCAACTCAGCACTACTGCTGTGGCTGCAGCAATACAGCTTCAGCTCTTCTGTTAACAGCAGTTTGCTTACAAAAGGCAACAGAAATGGGGTGTAAGGGAGCACTGGCTTTCACTGATAGGATCCAGAAGGAACAGGATGTGGGTTAATGATCCTTTTTCACTAAGGGTAGTGATGCTCTTGTGTCCATAGCATTGAAAAAGAGTTTGCACACTGTGTCATAGACAGTGGAGACAGCTTCATAGAATCCCAGACTGGTTTGGGTTGGAAGGGACCTTAAAGCTCATCCAGTTCCAACCCCCTGCCACGGGCAGGGACACCTTCCACTAGAGCAGCTTGCTCCAAGCCCCTGTGTTCAACCTGGCCTTGAACACTGACAGGGATGGGGCAGCCACAGCTTCTCTGGGCACCCTGTGCCAGCGCCTCAGCACCCTCACAGGGAAGAGCTTCTGCCTAAGAGCTCATCTCAATCTCCCCTCTGGCAGGTTAAAGCCATTCCCCCTGTCCTGTCCCTACAGGCCCTTGTCCAAAGCTCCTCTCCAGGTTTCCTGTAGCCCCTTTAGGCACTGGAGCTGCTCTAAGGTCTCCCCTTCAGGAGCCTTCTGTTTTCAAGGCTGAACCAGCCCAGCTCTCTCAGCCTGGCTCCAGAGCAGAGCTGCTCCAGTACTCTCCAGTTTGCAAGGAACCGTTCTGCTTCTCCCTGCTTTCTGCTTCTGGACACGTGTGACCTGCTCCTTGCCTCTGGCACAGCAGTTTACACAGCGTGTGATATAGTGAAACAGAGATCCTTGCAAAAACAACAGAAAGGAGACAGCAGAGCAATCAGCAGCAGTAAATAAATAGAACAAAGGAACCAGGAAAGGGAGAGAACTAATTATTTGGTATGACCTAAATGCAAAATGTGTCATTGTGATTCTCAGGATGTTCTTTTTTTAATACACATGCCAGTCAAGTTAATGACCAGGGAAGAAGACGAGAGAAGGGATCTTGAGGCAAAACCCAAAGTTTCAACTGCCAAGACAGAAAAAGAGATCATAAAGCCCAAGTGGTCTCCACCAAACTCCCCGATGAAACAGCACATAGAGCTAAAGCCCAACAGCAAGGTGTGTGCATAGCCTGTGACTGGAAAATTGCATAAACATCAATGTTCTGAGAGAAACCACAGAAGCAACAAGAGACCTTCTATTTGACTCCCTTTCATGAATCCCAAAATGCAATGTCTTCAATGAGATTTTGAGTACAAGAACAGTTTTCATTAAGTCAGTGAATTTCCGTATGGTTCTACCAAGTTTCCAAAAGAAATCAGGGCAATGGAGGAGGAAACAGCACACTGGTTAGTCCCCGAGCAGCTGAGTGCAGGAAAGGCTGATGCAATCCCTGTGGAAGTTGGGCAAGGGCTGGTTTAGTCAGGGAAGTGCCACTACCAGTGTATGTGACACAGGTGAAATGAATTACAGACCAGTCAGTCTCACCTCTGTGCCTGGCAAAATCTTGGAGCAGATTCTCCTGGAAGGCATGCTAAGGCACATGAGAAACAACAAGGTGCTTGGTGACAGCCAGCATGGCTTCACTAAGGGGAAATCCTGCCTGACCAATTTGATGGCCTTCTATGATGGGGCTACAGAACTGATGGACAGGGGTAGAGCAGCTGATGGCATCTACCTGGACTTGTGCAAAGCGTTCGACACTGTTCCACACAACATCCTTGTCTCTAAATTGGAGACATCAATTTGATGGATGGACCACTCGGTGGATAAACAACTGGCTGGATGGCCGCACACAAAGAGTTGTGGTCAATGGCTCAATGTCCAGCTGGAGACCAGTAACGAGTGGTGTCCCTCAGGGATCACTGTTGGGACTGATCTTGTTCAACATCTTCATCGCTGACGTGGACAGTGGGATTGAGTGCGCCCTCAGCAAGTTTGCCGATGACACCAAGCTGTGTGGTTCGGTTGATGCACTGGAGGGAAGGAATGCCATCCAGAGGGACCTGGACACACTTGTGAGGTGGGCGGATGCCAACCTCATGAAGTTTAACCATGCCAAGTGCAAGGTCCTACACCTGGGTGGGAGCAATCCCAGGCACAGCTACAGGTTGGGCAGAGAAGAGATTCAGAGCAGCCCTGTGGAGAAGGACTTGGGGGTGTTGGTTGATGAGAAAATGAGCATGAGCCGGCTTCAGTGTGCGCTTGCAGCCCAGAAACCAACCGTATCCTGGGCTGCATCAAAAGGAGCGTGACCAGCAGGTCGAAGGAGGTGATCCTGCCCCTCTACTCTGCTCTTGTGAGACCTCCCCTGGAGTATTGTGTGCAGTTCTGGTGTCCTCAACATAAAAAGGACATGGAACTGTTGGAACAAGTCCAGAGAAGGGCCATGAGGATGATCAGGGGACTGGAGCACCTCCTGTATGAAGACAGGCTGAGGAAGTTGGGGCTGTTCAGCCTGGAGAAGGATGTGTGGAGACCTCATAGCAGCCTTCCAGTATCTGAAGGGGGCCTATAGGGATGCTGGGGATGGACTCTTCATTAGGGACTGCAGTGACAGTACAAGGGGTAACGGGTTAAAACTTAAACAGGGGAAGTTTAGATTGGATATGAGAAAATTCTTTCCTGTTAGGGTGGTGAGGCACTGCAATAGGTTGCCCAGGGAGGTTGTGAATGCTCCATCCCTGGCAGCATTCAAGACCAGGCTGGACAAAGCCTTGGGTGAGATGATTTAGTGTGAGGTGTCCCTGCCCATGGCAGGGGGGTTAGAACTAGATGATCTTAAGGTCCTTTCCAACCCTAACTATTCTATGATTCTATTCTATGATTCTATGACACTGAAAAACCCAGCCAAGGGCTGCAGAATTCTGTTTAGGAAAAGATGCAGAAACTTCTTTTCTAGGCTGAGCAAAGAAGGGAAGCATCTCCATGGAGAGAAGGTAAGAGATGATTTATGTGGCCTAAAGAGGGGAAGATTTCAGATAAACAGTCTCAAATGTTTATCTGGGACAGGAAGAATCCATATCAAGGGATGACAGTTTATTTCTCCTTGTGCCAGTGCAGCTCTATCAAATACAAGGAAATTTAGCCTGGATATTGAGGACTATTTCTAGCTATGCTAGAAGTGAGATCTTGGAGCAGTCTTTCAGGTGAGAGTGGTCTGGAAAGGGGAATTCACCAAGCTGGAGCTGGAAGGTATCCACAGGGTACAATGTAACAGGAATTCTCAAACAGGAATCTGTTTGCAATATGAGGCCCTGGGAACTGCTAGTACAGTGGAACAAATCCATTCCTTGAGGCTACCACAGTTGTCTGAGAAAGCCACAAAGGAAATTGCTTTCTTACCTGTTCTGTAATTTGGCCTCTGGGTTTTTCCCTTCCTTTGAAATACAAATTGACTAAGCAGGGGATTGAAGTAGCACATGCTAAACTGAGGTCCTAGCCTCGTTCCTGTGTGCTGCTACACACCCAGGAGTTCAAATACTGCTGGATCAGAAGGAAACTTTTCCCCTCCACCAGGCTGGCAAGAACTGTGGGATGGAGCAAGGAGCTGCTCTGAAGCAGGCTGACACCTGGGGCACCTAGGAGCTGTGTTACACAGGCCCTCATACACCAGCACACTGTCACAGCCATCCTCACTCTGCCACTCTCAAGCTGTTTTTCAGACCCATAAGGGCACATTAAAGAGCAGATGAGTGGATTCTCCTGAGCTTTAGACAGCAGGTAACCCAGCCTTTGGTGCTGGGTCCCCACAAGCACTGCCCAGCCTCACTCAGCAGTGTCCCTGTCAGTGGCCAAACTCACACACTGGTAGAACTCCCGGTAGCGGCCCCTGGTCATGGCTGGGTTGTCCCTCCTGTAGACCTTGGCGATGTGATAGCGCTTGATGTTGGTGATCTTGTTCATGGCCAGATAGCGAGCGAAGGGCACCTGGGATGGTTAGGTTAAGGACTGGAACAGAGAGGGATCACCCCACCCAGTTATCAGTCACAGGCAGTGCTGGGTGCTCACTATCTCCCCAACACCCAGCACAGTGCGTGGCACACACCCTGGGACAAAGCAACTGCTGAGAGATGGATTTTCCATAGCTCCTAAGGTCTCCACAACTGCCCAAGACATGGCCTGCACATGCTGCCGTTAATCATAGAATCAGTGTGGTTTGTATTGGAAGGGACCTTAAAGCTCACCCAGTTCCAACCCCCTGCCACGGGCAGGGACACCTTCCACTAGAGCAGTTTGCTCCAAGCCCCTGTGTCCAACCTGGCCTTGAGCACTGCCAGGGATGGGGCAGCCACAGCTTCTCTGGGCACCCTGTGCCAGTGCCTCAGCACCCTCACAAGGAAGAATTTCTGCCTAAGAGTTCATCTCAATCTCCCCTCTGGCAGGTTAAAGCCATTCCCTTTGTCTTGTCCCTACAAGCCCTTTTCCAAAGCTCCTCTCCAGGTTTCCTTGTACCCCTTCAGGCACTGGAAGCTTTACTTCATTGAAGAAACATAAATAACTGGACAAGGTTGCTGCACCCACTGAATCACACTGCCTGCTCAGGCTCTCCCTGTCAGGATGGGGTCAGAACAAAAAGACCATCTCCTCCCCTACCCACTGGACAGCACGGCCCCAAAAGGAGGGCAGCAAAGGTGATGAGCCCCCTCAGCATTGGCTATGGCAGGATACTGTCAGGTCGTAGCGCAGGGACAGCAGCTCTCCTCCTTGATCTTTCAGATCATAGATGAGCTTCGAGTCTTCACCGTATTTCCCTGTCAATGTCTCCTACAACAAAAGGACACATGAACAAACAGCATCTTCAGTGACAGGGAAGACACCTGGAGATGGAAGAATAAAACTCAGCCCTCAACACACCACAGGCTTTTAACTGCAGGATCCTCATCAGCTCTGCAACCTGCTGTGTCCTCACTCACCTTCAGCTCAAACACTGGTGTATCAATGACTTCTGCTCCATGGCGCTTGAAGCAGGAGATGATTGCATTGAAGACCCTCTCACGAATGGCCATTTGCTTGGGGCTGTAGTCCCGTGTGCCCTGGGGTGAAAGAAGGCAAAGGAGAGCAAAAGACACACTGGGTTAGAGGCAGGTAGTGGAGACAGACTTAAGAGGCAATATGGATATGCTATCATAGTGCTAATAAAACCAGACAGATCAGGTCCAGACACCGGATGTCAGGAGAAATGGTAAAAAGCAGCATTAAAAACTACTGGAAAACATCAGGATGCAGCTCAGAAACAACCTGCTAGGGTCTGCAGAGCTTAATCTAAGTCAGGACTTTCATGTTGCAGGAAATAAAGGAGCTAACACAGATCCAACTGTCAGAGGCTTCAATGCTTTGGAGTGTGACAGTACAACTCGAATCTGCCCACAGCTCTGAATCCAATGTCAGCAAGACCCCTGCAAAACCAGCCACATCAAGAGGTGGAATCAGAGGAAAGGCACATTTTGGAGCCATGGAACAACTCCACAGCTTCCAAACACACAGAGAAATCATCTGTTCAAAGTGTGATGTCTGTGAAATACCCATCTGCTGTTCACTGGGATGTGCTCCCTTTTAATTCCTTCACTGTTCGGAGTCACTGCATTATTTCAGTGACAACCTTTAGGCTCTCAGCAACACACAGATCACTGTTAACTAACCAGACCTCCCACTTGCATCTTCCAGGAGCTGGGAGTCAGGCAGGAGGAAGCAGCGAGCAGGCGCTTCCGCACACCCCACCTGCAGGTCGTACAGCGAAGAGCAGCCTCCAGCCGTACACTGACGTGGCTGAGGCAGGTGGAAACCCAAACCAGGCTTCCCGGGCACTCACAGAGCTGTAAAATCCTCTCACATCTTTAAATGTAAAATACCCTTCCAGGCCTCACACCCGTTACATTTACCAATACAAAGGAAATGGACAAAGAAGACAGTTTTGAGACATTTAAGTCAGTGGCATTAAACTGATTGGTTTGTCAATAAAATTCCTGTCTCCACATGGACACAGTTGATCTCTGGTCAGCTGCTAGTGATGAAAACATTCAGGCTACAAACAATTTCAGGATAAACTGCACTATGGACACTATTCTCAGGGGCCTGCAGACTGAAGAGCTACCCCTGAAGGAAGGGTCCTTCTGCAAGAGGACACCAATGTCAGCAGCTGGTAAATGGGATTACCCACCCTCGCTAAGGCAAGACCAAAAGCCACGAGACCTTTCATGCTCCCCCCATTTCAACAAGTGTTGACCATTCCTGGCAAGCACCGCCAGGGTTTATGCTTTGCAGATCCCCCACAACAAGCCTTACACCAGCAGAGCTGTATGCTGCAGCACCCCATGCTCACCCAGTCCAGCAGCAGCTCCATCCACTGTCTGCATTAACAGGGAACAGGACCAGCTTAAGGATCCTTGATCCAGGAGTGCCAAAGCCTGCAGGTACTCATGTGGTCATAGAATCCCAGACTGGTTTGGGTTGGAAGGGACCTTAAAGCTCATCCAGTTCCAGCCCTCCTGCCGCAGGCAGGGACACCTTCCACTAGAGCAGCTTGCTCCAAGCCCCTGTGTCCAACCTGGCCTTGAACACTGCCAGGGATGGGGCAGCCACAGCTTCTCTGGGCACCCTGTGCCAGTGCCTCAGCACCCTCACAGGGAAGAGCTTCTGCCTAAGAGCTCATCTCAATCTCCCCTCTGGCAGGTTAAAGCCATTCCTGCTTTTCCTGTCCCTACAGGCCCCTGTAGTAGGGTCAGTGCTACAAGAGCTGAAGAGTCCTAACCTTTAAACTCATCAGGCAATGCAGTGTCATAACCTTATTTCAGTGCAATCCCAGCAGATACGAGACCTCTCACACTGGGCAGCTACAATAACATGGCCAAAGGGGAATTAAGTTTTCTGACCACACCAGCTAGTGGTTGGCTTGTCACAGAAGCACCAGAAAGTCTTTACATTATTAGGGTCTCTCGGGTTATTTTCAACCCTCTCTCCCTTGCTGCTAAAAGGGAACAGAAATGAGAGCACAGTCAGGCCAGCCTGTGCTGAGGTTTTGCACACACAGATGTGGGGGAGATTGTGCACACAGAGAGGTGTGTGCTGGGGGAAGTTACCTTTGGGGTCTTGAGTACAAACTTGTGCTTCCCTTCATCTCCTCCCAGCTGGGCCTTCATCTCCAGCAGCTTTGCCACCTCCTTTGCAATCTGGAAAGGGAGCAAGGAGGGAACTGAGGGTAAACCCACCTGCCAGGCCCAGCCCGCAGGCCTCCCCCAGTACCTTCAGCCTCGGCATTCCCAGTATACCCAGACTCCCTAACATCAATACATGCACTAATCCCAGTCTCCTACAGCAATCAGAGGGGCACTCCCTGCTCCTCTCCAGGACTCCCCACTTCTGCTACAAGCCCCCCAGTCTCAGCACCCCCAACATCCCCACCAGTCTCTGCCTTCCACGACCTCCATTACCCTCAACATCCACCCCCCAAGTGCCCCTACCTCCCATCTCACCAGCTCCTGCTACATCCACCCCAGCATCAGCAGTCTCCAGCATCCTCCTCCCAATCCTGACACCCTAAGCCTCTCTTTCTTCAGCCTAACACCAGCATCACCACTTCCCACTCCCAGCTCTCTCCAGGTCCTCAGTCCCTCTGCTCTCCATCCCAGACCAGTACTCCCACACCCCTTTCCCCATTGCCACCACATCCAGCCCAGCAACACCTACACCAGTACTGCCAGTTCCCTCAGCACCTGAGCTCAGCAACCACACCCCAGTCACAGCAGCCCCCTCTCCAGCCAGCACCAGTACCCCCAGCTCCCCAGAAACCTCCATTCCCCATCCCAGCACCCCCCGTCCGCTCCGGCTTCCTGCTCCCAGTCACACCACTCTCCAGCCATACTGGTCCTCCCCCATCCCCACAGCAACCCCCGAGAACCGTCAGCCGCTCCATGCCCCGCGCCGGGACCGGCCGCACCTCGTCGGCATCGGCCTTATCGTGCTTGAGGCGCCGCACCACCTCGGCCTGCGCCCGCACCGCCGCATCCTCCGCCATTGCCGGCCCGCGCCTGCGCGCCGTGCCCGATGCGCCACTGCGCCTGCGCAAAGCTGCGCCCTCCCTTGCCGCCCGCGCAGTGCCGCGCCCGCGCGTTGCCATAGCAGCGGGGCCGCGCCTCAGGAACCACTCTGGAGCGGCTGCGGTTTGGGTCAGGTTTAATGTATAAAACACAGGGCTCCAGCACGCCCGACCCCGGCCGGAGCCTGCCCCAGCGCCAGGCCGAGTCCCGCCCCGAGTCTGTGCTCCCCACAGGTCGGGGCTGGCCGCTGCAGCCCTCAGTGGGCAGGAGGTGGCTTCCACAGCCACCCGCTCCCTGTATCCTGAGCCTCCGTGCTCGCACTGCACCACAACCCCACACGCAGTGCAGAGCTCAGCCCCATCCTGCTGCAGCTGCACCACATCCATCTGTGCCCCTGGCACCACCGTCACTGCAGTCACAGGCACGGCAACAGCAGGAACCCCCAGTCTTGACGCATCTTTCAGAGCGGTTAACCACAAGGTTAAGCTGGCGACTGCACTGTCTGTAACCTTTAAAGCCCACTTGCTCCTTTCCAAGCAGACAGCCCATGTTGACACTGCATTAGCCCAGGCAGGTGAGGCTTAGGATGGTAAATATCGACCAGTCTTCAGCAGGAAGTAAGTGCTAAGGGTGCTGAGGGTTCCAGTTGTACAGCAGCTCAGGCAAGCAGCTCTGACCTGAAGAGTCCTAAGGCTCCAGCCTTCTTCTGATCTCATCAACAAGCTTTTCTCTTTGGATATCAACCTAAAAAGCAAAGGGGGAGGAGGAGGTAGCAGCAATGGACCCTTGAGCAGAGCACGGTTTAATCTGGCCCCAAAGACTTGCTGTGACCAAAGCAGTTTGTGACCAGTTTTCTGGAGTAGTCACCCAACAGATCTGTGCTGCAGCTCCCCAAGGTAACATCACCGAGGGAAAACACAGAGCCCTTCAGCAACCTCTGCATTTTGGAAGCACTTTTGGAAGCAGGTATAAAAAAAGGCATTCTCACCTCCACTCTTGTTGCAACATCTCGCAGCTTGACGACTCCATCTGTCAGCTCCCGCTCCCCTACAATGGCAGCAAGGGGGATTCCCGTGTCCTCACAATACCGCAGCTGCTTCAGCAGTTTAGGATCCTTCTTGTACAGCATCTCTGCCTAGCACAAAGCGGAAAAGGTGATCATTAACACAGAATTTCCTCTGACGGGTTTTGGGAGCAAAACAGCCAGCATCAACACCTGCAGCAAGCAGTTGCCTTTAGTGCTCTCAGCAGTTCCTACCTCCTAGATCTCAGACAGAGATCTTGAAAAGACACAACTAATGGAGTTGATCTTGCTGTGCTACAGCTCCCTTCAGGCTCTCCCTCTCTCACCCATACCAGTGCCAAGCCCAAGTCCTTACTTTACCTTGATCCCTGCACCCCACAGCTCAGAGATGAGCTTCAGTCTTGCAGCAAGTAAGTGTTTGTGAGGTGTAGCCACCAGCACTTGTGTCTCTGTTGTTCGAACCTTCTCCCCGGAAGCCTGCAGGAACAGACACTCGTGGCAGTGACTGGTTCCAAGGGAACCTACAGCTCACAACAGAAGCTCATCTCACCTTATTTCAGACTCTGACTTAGCTCCCCAAAACAAGTAAAAGCCAACCATCACCACTCGGTGGATGTTACTAAGCTAGGCTGACCTTCCACAGCAAAGAGAGCACACAGGTAAAGCAACCTGGGCACATTTAATGAGTCCCCCAGAGAAGCTGCATCATGATACACTATTTCAATCAGGTGCTGCTGTTCCTGTGGGACTTTGGTTTTCCTCCCTCCCTCCCAGAAGGGACCTGGCCAGCTTTCTAATGTTGCCTTTGATTCTTCAGGCACAAACACATTGCCCCAGCTTCATTTGCTGTGAATCACAACTCAGAACTGAACACATAGTGATGAATTTGGGGCTCATTAAAGAGTGCTACAGCTGCTACTGAATTCCTCATAATCCCCAGGACAGAAAAGTTCACAGGCAAGAGACAAGAGCAAAGTGACTGGAGCACAAAGTTTGGAGCCAGGACCAGAGCTCAGGGCTCATCTCTCATGCTTCCAGGGCATCTGCTATGAAATGCAGCCCACACCTGCATCCTACTGGGCTGCAGAACAGGGCTCTATCTTCTGTGCATAGACATTCAGGCATGAGATGAGCCACCCTGGCCCCTAAAATACTTTCCTCTTGAACACAGTTGAGCTGTAAAGCTCCATAATAAACAAGAGCTGGCTTCCTAGAGCCTTCCTCCAGGCACTGCTGCAGCACCAACCTTCATTCTCTGCTCCAGAATGGAGAAGATCCGCTCTATCCCAATGCTGACCCCCACGCAGGGCACCTTCCGTCCCTTGGGATCAAACATCCCCACCAGCCCATCGTAGCGGCCGCCTCCAGCCACGCTCCCGACGCTCACGGGCTCCTCCACGTGCTCATTCTCCTGCTGCAGCAGCACAGCCTCGAAGATCACCCCTGTGTAATAGTCCAGGCCCCGCGCCAGGCTCAGGTCAAAGGAGATCTGCAGGGCACAAGGGAAACCCCATCACTGCCTGCACTCAGGGGGGCTGGGCTGTGCCCCTCCCGCCCCTGCCCCTCCTCACCTTTCCTGTGATGCCAAACAGGGTCAGGTACTCAAAGAGCAGCTTCATGTCCCCCAGCCCCTCCTTGGCCAGCTTGTTCTGGGACAGCTTTGGGTCCTGGAGCAGCTGCTCGATCAGCTCCAGGCCACCTGTGGCAATGAGACTCTGTTAACAAGGTTAACAGCACCCCTGTGTCCCCAGCCCTCCCTGCCTTGCCTGGAGGAGCAAAGCCAAGGGCTTGACCCCCCAGTGCTCACCGTGAAGCTGGACGTACTCCCCGATGTGATCCGCAGCCTCAGGGGAGAGCCCCTTCTCCCCCACCATCTCGCTCCTCACTTCTTCCCATGGCACCTGTGAAGGGAGAGAACAGCCATTCCTGCAGGCTCTCATCAGTCAGTCTCCACCAGCCTATGTATTCACCACACATGCAGAACAGCAGTCAGGCCAGCAGGCCAGCAGTCAGCTCTCTGATCCACATCTCCCACAGGAACTGCTAACAGAAACCACTGGGACACCAAGTTTTTCTCAGTGATGCCCAAGAGTTCCCCAAATCCTTCAGAGACACCAACAGCTGAGCTGCTGTGAGCTTCTGCATGATAAAACCTGCCCTGACACTGCCTAGCCCAAGACATGCACCCTGTGAGCCCAGCTCTCACCTTGTCCAGCTTGTCCACAGTACAACACGTTGTTATAAACTTGCTCTCTGGGATGCCACAGACAGCAAAAATCCCATTCAAAATCCTCCTGTCATTGACCTGGAATGGGAGAGGGACACTCAGCTCCAGGAGATCCACCACCATTCCTTCCTGTCCCAGAGCTACAGGAAACTGCAGCCACTGGGTGTTCCCTGTTGCCTTTTCAATCCCCTGGGAAGAGAAGGCCCAGAGGTATGGAAAGCCCTCGGCTTTGAGCTCGCCTTGATGAGGAAGTCCCCGAGCTGCAGGTCACTCAGGATCTCATGCACGATTTTCAGGCACTCGGCATCAGGAATCATGGGGTCAAACTGCCCAGCAATGTCAAAGTCCTGGGGGCAGAAGAAGCAGCAGAGGCTCCTGGCACAGCTGAGGTGCTTTGGCTCTGCAAACTACATCCCACAGCTGCTGATGGTGAGCCAAAACCCACACCAGAACTTCCTGAGCAGTGACCACTACAACACTCACGCACTGGTAGAACTCCCGGTAGCGGCCCCGAGTGGTGGCTGGGTTGTCTCTCCTGTAGACCTTGGCAATGTGGTAGCGCTTCATGTTGGTGATCTTGTTCATTGCCAGATAGCGAGCAAAGGGCACCTGGGGGGCTAAGGAGTTAAGGACAAGAATGAGATGATCCCTTGAACTGCAGAAAGCTGAACCTTAAAGTTACTCATCTCCCCTTTGCAGCTGCTCTCTGCTCTCCAAGTAGTTCATCAGCCTGGGCTAATGATGAGATGATGAACCATGCTGAGCTCCTCCAACACCAGGACAACTCCACTGACCTTCTTCTGAACCACAGCATGTGAACACCTTGCAGACACAGACCTTTGGTAAGTCACCTCACAGAATCACAGACTGGTTTGCCCTGGAAGGGACCTTAAAGCTCATCCACTTCCAATCCCCTGCCATGGGACACCTTCCACTAGAGCAGCTTGCTCCAAGCCTCATCCAACCTGGCCTTGAACACTACCAGGGATGGGGCAGCCACAGCTTCTCTGGGCACCCTGTGCCAGCGCTTCAGCACTCTCACAGGGAAGAGCTTCTGCCTAAGAGCTCATCTCAGTCTCCCCTCTCGCAGATTAAAGCCATTCCCCTTGGCCTGTCCCTACAGGCCCTTGTCCAAAGCCCCTCTCCAGGTTTCCTGCAGCCCCTTTAGGCACTGGAGCTGCTCTAAGGTCTGCCCTTCAGGAGCCTTCTCTTCTGCAGCTGACCCAGCCCAGGTCTCTCAGCCTGGCTCCAGAGCAGAGCTGCTCCAGCCCTCACAGCATCTTCTTGGCCTCCTCTGGATTCGTTCCAACAGCTCCAAGTCCCTCTTGTGCTGTTGCCCCAGAGCTGATCAGTCCTCTTGCCTCAGAGAGAACTCAAGGTACAGCACAGACACAATGCTTTTTGGTGAAGGTAGGGAAGGCACTGGGGATATCCCAGCAGCAAACCCTGCTGCTCCCTCAGAACCACTGCTGAGGCACTGGGCAGGTAGGTTGGGCAGGACAGGAGGAAAAGGAGGTTTGTGTCACCCTGCTGGGACCTGTGGGCAGGGCAAGGGCAACCCAAGAACACCAGGGTGGCAGCAGCCCCAGGGTGGCAGCAGCCCCAGGGTGCCACCCCCCCCCCCGGTGAGAACAAGGTGCAGAGAGCAGGATACAGTCAGGTCGTAGCGCAGGGCCAGCAGCTCCCCTCCCTGGTCCTGCAGCTCATAGATGAGCTTCGCTTCCTCCCCGTACTTCCCCATCAGCGTCTCCTGTAGGGAGGCAAGGGGGTGGTAAGGGACCAGGATGGGAGACAGACCCAGAACCCGGTTCCCCATGCTCCACAGCTCAAGCAGAGATTGGGGAGGACATCCCTGCCTTCAGCTCCCTCTGACCTGGGGCACAAGTGGGCCCTCATCCGCATTCCCCGTTCCCCAGTAGTGACCCCAGAGAGTCTGTCACGGCTGCCCCCCGCCCAGTATGTCCGAAAAGGGGGGGATCTCCCCACGCTGCCCGAATTTGCCCTCTCAGCCCCGGGGAAGCAGGGTGTTCCTCAGTGCTACAAGAGGGGACCCCACAGCCGGGTTCCCGAGAAGCAAAAGGGGTTCCCGCAGCCGCCTCACCCGCAGCTCTAGCACGGGGGTGTCGATGGCGGCCGCGCCGTGCCGCTTGAAGCAGGTCACCACGGCGGCGAGCAGCCGGTCACGGAGCGCCGTGTGCGCAGGGGGGTGGTCGCGAGTGCCCTGGCCAGGGACGGAGAGCGGCCGTCAGCGGCGGGGACAAGGAAGAACAACTCCCGGTAACCGCAGGACCCGCTCCCCACGATTACCTTGGGTGTCTTCAGAACCGGGCGCCACCCGCCACCGGCCGAACCCGCGGCCGCCCGCCAAGGCGGGAGCCCGCCGTACCCGAGCAGCCATGCCCGGACCTGGCTGACCCGGGGCGCGATGGGGCCCACGGGTAGCAGCCACCCGGCGACGAGCGGCACCAGCCGCAGCATGGCCGGTCCCGAGGAGACCGGAAGCAGCGGAGCCACGTGATCTCTCAGCGGCCCTGACTCACACCGCTCTAAGCCAGCACGGCGAGTACTTAGTACTGGAGCGGGCTGCCTCGCTTTACGACCCGGCCGCTGCCGCACGACAGTTTCCGGTCCCTCGTCGCCCCTACCCTCAACATGGCGTCGGGCAGCGGGGTAGGTGTTGGTGGTGGGGCCGAACCCGGTGCTTTCCCCTTTGCTCGGTACATCCTGGGCCAGGGTAGGGCCGCGGCGGCTGGGGCCTCTCCGGAGGGGCAGGCGGCAGGAAGGGCTGCTCCGCTGCCGGCGGGAGGTGCTCGGAGCCTGCGCCAGGCCGCGGGGTGAGGGACCCCTCGGGTGGGGACGCGGCGGGGCGGGCAGCGGCTTGTGCAGAGGCCCCAGCCCTGCTGTTCCCACCGCTGTGTGGGGCGGGAGGAGGTTTGGGGCCCCTGGAGAGGCCCCGGTGCCTTCAGGGCCTCGGCTCGATTTCCTCTCCCTGGGGCCAGGCGTCCGCCGTGGGAGCCGCTGTTTGACCCGGTGGCGTCGGGAGGTCCTGCCGGGGGCCTCCCGGGCCTGGGCAAGCAGCTCCCTCCTCCTTTTTTTTTCTTGTCCCACTCCACTGCCTGTGTCCCGCTGCCTCTCGCTGCCCTGCCGAATTTCCTGGATAGAGAAACTGCCTTTTCCGTGCCTTGAGTTTTTGGTAGCTCCCGTGTAACTGGTTGCTTTTATTGGCGTTGCGGGGTTTGTGTAGTGTGGCAGCAAGGTCTTTCTGCCTTTATGAATCCTGCAGGATTTGATGTTGAGATGAGTGAGATGGATGCTGTTGGTGTAGCCAGGCTGGTGTAAACACTCCGATAATGCCCCCAACAGCTGTTAGCACTGCTGGGACTGTGCTGTCTTGCTTTCTGGGGTGATCTGTCCTTCAGTTGAAGCCACTTGCAGTGCTGAGAGCAGTCAAGAGCAGGACATCAGCCGGGAGCAAGACAAGGCCTAGGATTTATTCTCAGCTACTGGTGTTTCTATTCCTGTTAAACTGAGCCAGGCTCAAGCCTCCTGTGTTATATTACAGGCTTTGATGCTGATACCAGGCATGTTACTTGGTCTCTTATCTCCAGAGGGAAGAGGCTGTGGGATACTCCTGCTTTATAATGTTCCTACTTATGTAGGAAATATTCTCTGTCCCCCAAAGCAGCTCTTAAATGAAGATTTTAGGGCTTGCAGCCGCCCCTGCCTGCACCAGGCCAATCAAGCAAAGTTCCTTTAGATAATATCCCGCTGAGATCTTGTTACACAGTTGGGTTTAATTTCTTTTTCCCTGTGCCTGGATGAGAGAGATTGATCAAAGAGCCTTGAGAAACTCCTTCCCTTTTATTACAACAGGAGAGTGTAGCAGCAAGTGAGTAAATCACCTCCTGCCAGCTGTGATATGTGATAATGTGCTGCTGTGTGGGAGAGGCTCGAGCCTGGACAACCCCCCCAAACATTCATTTACACTCTGTGATATTTTCCTTTCTCTTGCTCGGGGGGTTAATAAAACCTGCTCTGACATGCTTAAAGTGCTTAAGAAGCTCTGGGAAGAAATGAGACTGTTTTGATGCCTCCCTGAGGCGTTTTCATTGCTATCAGTAGTTGTTGGTTCCATTTGAAGGATTGCCAGAGGAGAAAACATTAAATGACTGTGCTGCTGCTGTAGCTTCAAATGGGATTTATTCCCGCTGGATTGTGATAGGGTTTCTGATTAGGCTAGAGGGGGAGGTCCTTCTTTCCCAGAGGTGTTTTCAGATACATCCATCCTTTTCTTAATATCAAACTGAGCCTCTCACTGCCATGCTGAGTGAAACACAGCTTTATAACCAGGTGAGAGCTGTCTTCTCAAGGCAGTGAAGGGTCTGAGTGAAGTATCTGGGTTCTAAGTAGACGGGTTGGGCACAGGGAAGAGGCTGTGCTGGTTTGGGGAGAGTAGATGTGAATGGAAGAGGGGTTCCTATCCAGTCCCTTCTGTCCTTGGTGTTGATAACTGGGGTAAAAATCCCCCCCGAAGAGAAGTCTTTGTATTCGTCAGTGCCAGCTTCACCCAAATCCAGTTTCTCTTCACACAGCTTGTGCTGTGGCTGCCAGTGAGTGTTCTCTGCACAGCTGCCATAGGACCAGTCTGCCATGGGGGGCGGTTGCTCCCTTCCCTGCATGTCTGCAGTGTGAAACTGCAGGAGCAGGATGGCTTACTGGGAGTTGGTACAGGGGCTTCCCCGGTACCTCCATGCCCTGCTTTCACAGATGGGCTTTTAGAGCGTTTTCTGGTTTGCTTGAAAAACCCATACCCAAGCACACAGAACCCAAGCACAGACACAGGCTGGGGTAGACTGGATGGAGCAGCCCTGAGGAGAAGGATTTGGGGTGGTGGGTAACAAGAAGCTCCTCATGATGTGGCTTCAGTGTGCATTTGAGCCCAGAACCCCTCTGTGTGCTGGTCTGCACCCCCAGAGCGTGAGCAGCAGCTCAGGGAGGGGATCCTGCCCCTCTGCTGTGCTCTGAGGAGAACCCCCTGCAGTCCTGATCCAGCTCTGGGGCAACAGCACAAGAGGGATGTGGAGCTGTTGGAGCGAGGCTAGAGGAGGCCATGGAGATGCTGTGAGGGCTGGAGCAGCTCTGCTCTGGAGCCAGGCTGAGAGAGCTGGGCTGGGTCAGCTGCAGAAGAGAAGGCTCCTGAAGGGGAGACCTTAGAGCAGCTCCAGTGCCTAAAGGGGCTACAGGAAACCTGGAGAGGGGCTTTGGACAAGGGCCTGTAGGGACAGGACAGGGGAATGGCTTTAACCTGCCAGAGGGGAGACTGAGATGAGCTCTTAGGCAGAAGCTCTTCCCTGTGAGGGTGCTGAGGTGCTGGCACAAGGTGCCCAGAGAAGCTGTGGCTGCCCCATCCCTGGCAGTGTTCAAGGCCAGCTTGGACAGGGCTTGGAGCAAGCTGCTCTAGTGGAAGGTGTCCCTACCTGTGGCAGGGGGTTGGAACTGGGTGAGCTTTAAGGTCATTTCCAACCCAAACCAGTCTGACTCTCTGATACTGGGTCCTGCGATTTCACAGCAAACTCAGTGCTTTGATTCCTGTAATGTTAAGACACACTGCTGAGAGTAGACACACATCACCTGCCCTACTCCTGCTTTTAATCAAATCCTTTGTAGCTTGTGTTGTGTTTCACACCTTTCTCATGTGATATTTGCAGCTTGGGTTTAATTGACTTTAGGAAACAGCATGTGTAATGTTTGTCAGGGGCACTGCTGAGGCCTTGGATCAATCAGTTGAGATGCTGTTTGTGTCTGGTTTTCAAAGCAAAAGCCTGAATGATCGTCTCGGGAGCTGTTAACATAAACTCATTACTTTTCTCAGGGCTTTGAAATCCTTCTAGAAGAAGTAGCTACAGACAGGCTGGGTGTTATCCTCTGAAGCTACATCCTTAATTCCTGTATGTGAAAACAGAGGACATGGGGACATAATGTAGTGCCCGCAGTTGACTGCTGTGCCCTCAGCGGCCACCTCTTTCCCCAGCCTCCCCTCAGAGGTGCTCAAACTTTAATATCATTAATACACTTTGTTTCCTTCTCAGACCAAGAACCTGGACTTCCGCCGAAAGTGGGACAAAGATGAGTACGAGAAACTTGCAGAGAAGCGGCTCACGGAAGAGAGAGAAAAGAAAGATGGTGAGCAGTGTGCTGCCGAGGGCAGGCAGCTCATGGGAGCAGTGTGCTGCCGAGGGCAGGCAGCTCATGGGAGCAGTGTGCTGCCGAGGGCAGGCAGCTCATGGGAGCAGTGTGCTGCCGAGGGCAGGCAGCTCATGGGAGCAGTGTGCTGCCGAGCGCAGGCAGTTCATGTGAGCAGTGTGCTGCCGAGCACAGGCAGCTCATGTGAGCAGTATGCTGCTGAGCGCTGAGTGCAGGCAGCTCATGTGAGCAGTGTGCCACTGAGGGCAGGCAGCTCATGTGAGCAGTGTGCCGCCGAGCGCAGGCAGCTCATGTGAGCAGTGTGCCGCCAAGCGCAGGCAGCTCATGTGAGCAGTGTGCTGCCGAGTGCAGGCAGCTCATGTGAGTAGTGTGCTGCTGAGTGCAGGCAGCTCATGTGAGTAGTGTGCTGCTGAGTGCAGGCAGCTCATGTGAGTAGTGTGCTGCTGAGTGCAGGCAGCTCTGCTCATGTGAGTAGTGTGCTGCTGAGTGCAGGCAGCTCTGCTCATGTGAGTAGTGTGCTGCTGAGTGCAGGCAGCTCTGCTCAGGTGAATAGTGTGTGCTGAGTGCAGGCAGCTCATGTGAGTAATGGGCTGCTGAACGTGGGCAGGTCTGCTCAGGTGTGTAGCATGCAGTTGAGTGCAGGCAGCTCTGCTCTTGGGAGTCGTGTGCTACTGAGTGTGGGCAGCTCTGCTCCCGTGAATAGTGTGTTGCTGAGTACAGACAGCTCTGCTCAGCTGGCAGCCAGTCACCCAAATCCTTAGTGAAAGATGGGGAGAGCCATGGAATCCCAGGGAGAAGTAGCAGCACTTGAAGGCTGGCTTGCTCCAATCCTTTTTCTTGTGCTTGCCAATGAATATATTGTTTTGCCAAAAGTAATTACTGAGAACCTTTGCCTCTGCCTGTTCTTTGGGGAGGGTGAGTAGCAATCAGCTCCTGGAGACAAGATCTCAGAATATGACCCAAGTCAGAGATGGAGATACCTGAGAGATACCTGGTTTCATAAGAACGAGGAACTAGTCAGGAGGAAATGATCCTTTACTGGTTTTGAAAAGAGTGCAATTTCTGGCTGAATCAAGTAGTTTCCAGCCCCCCTTTTCAGCAAGGGCAACGTGAACTCAGCATGTTGGGCTTAGCCGTTTCTGAGAAACACTTTGGCTTTTTGCTTGTGTTTTAGGCAAACCAGCCCAGCCCGTCAAAAGAGAACTTCTGCGGCACCGAGACTACAAAGTGGACCTGGAATCGAAGCTGGGGAAAACCATTGTCATCACCAAAACCACCCCTCAGTCAGA